ACTGAATGGGCCTGAGAAGTGCTGACGTCACGTAATTTTTAACAATGAATTATTGGCCTAAAAGTATCCCACAATGCACTGTACATTCCAGAAATCCTCTGTATTAAAAATTGCGTGACGTAACCACTTCTAAGGTGTATTGCTACAGTGTATATTATGTTGTATCATTTTCCATTCTTTCTTCCCAGGTGCAGGTGCTGTATTTCATATTCATTCTCAAAATGCAGTTATGGCCACCTTGTTATTTCCTGGAAAAGGATACCAGGACGCCCCTCCCCCCCTGACAAAAGTTTTCATACTCTGGATTGCTCGAGACTGGGTATTTCCACCTTTCCCCGCCATGCAAGACGAAACTGGGTTGAAGTCATTGATTTAACAAGGAACAACATCACGAGTGTAAACCTTTCAGCAATTATGATAGACTTTCCCAATATCGAATATATAGACCTCCAATATAATCTCCTCGAATGTACCAAGCTATTACGTGCAAGGGTAAACATATCAAGAGACTGTGCTCACTCTACCGACAGCACAGTCAAAGTCAAAGTCAAGCCCACAGCATCGGCTATTACATCGACTATACATCGTGGATCCACCAGCGTGTTAAGTCCAACGGCACCCCGAACCTCTCAGGTGAAAACCGTCACCCCTTCCTTTGCAAGCGTCTCGACCCCTTCTCCTGCAAACGCCTCGACCCCTTCTCCGATCAAAAACCGGTGAGAATCACATTTTACTAATACTCTCAATCCTGCTACCAGTTGGTAGCTAATAACATTCGGTATAGCATGTTTTTACGATATCCGGAGGAGGAGAAGACACCCGGCCCTTCCATCTATGTCGGACGTTTCCTACTAAACAATGTCCGTAGCTTTTCAACGAAGTACATTATTTGCAAGAGAACTCATTTTAACGTTATACTATACACGACAATATTTTTCCTATTAATGTTCTGATAATCCAAGGTCAATAACAATTTAATTTAGGGCGTGTCCCACAGAGTTCGCAATAACTTCCTGTTGAGTTAATTTATAATGACATCTCTGAAATGACTACTCTGAAATGACTACTCTGAAATGACTACTCTATTAAAATAGCTTGCCCGCGTACAAAATCTTCTATTGTAAAGGAGACGTGAAATTTACAAAGCGGAAACGGTATCTATGTTTTAATGACCTCTGCTTTAAGTGGTTATGTTCCGATAAACACTCGTGTGTTTGACAGGGAAATCCGATAGCTTATAATATATTATTTGACATAAAGTTTATACGAAAGTAAACATACGTCTACGCTCCCCTGAAACTATTTGTAATATTATAAATGTGGAATATTACTAGCTCTATACTGTTCATGCTAGTGTGTTCATAAACCCGAAATGAAACCATTTCGCTCAAAACGCACCAGAATTGACAGTTTCGTTAAAATCTTGTGTTATTTTAATAATCTTGTGATATTTTAATGACGTGTTAAAACACGTCTGTAAACTATAAATGTTTATAAAAATGTATGATTATAGAAAACGTAATGCAACCATTGATCATATTCACAGTGCAGTGTCAGCCGATGTTGTAATACTTTCCAATTGTCCGAGGGACAGCAACTCAATCTGAGAAGGTCGTTGTTCGCGGGAAGCAACGGCCCTTCGTCTCCGTCTTGCCACCCAGAGGTTATAGCTGCAGAGTAGAGCCAAAAGCAACAATAATATCCCTACGGGCAGTCCAACAATAACAAAGTACGAATTAGGGGTTGAGGCCGAGATTCGGGTCGGGGTCGGAACTAAGGTGGGGGTTGGGATTAAGATTTGGGGGCGCGGCTGAGTTTAAGGTTCTGGTAGGGGCTGAGATCAAGACTTGGGATTGAATTAAGGTTCGGGGAGTGGTCGGGATTAAGGTGGGGATTGAGACTACGGTTGGATGGAGGTCGGATTAAGGTTACGGACGCGGCCGAGGTTAAGGTTCCGGTGGGGGTCGAGATTAAGGTTGGGGGCCATACTAGGGTTCGGGGTGTTGTCGGGATTAAGGTTTCGGTGGGAGTCGGGATTAAGATTTGGGATTGAATTAAGGTTCGGGGAGTGGTCGGGATTAAGGTGGGGATTGAGACTACGGTTGGGATTCGGATTAAGGTTTGGGACGCGGGCGATGTTAAGGTTCCGGTGCGGCTCGGGATTAAGGTCAAGGGCTGGATTAACGTTCGGGGTGCCGCTGAGATTGGGGTTCCGGCGGGTGTTGAGATTAAAGGCTGGGTTAAGGTCCGGTGTGGGGTTAGGGTCTAAAGTGGGGTCATGGTTGTGAATTCGATCGTGAACACAGACGCAGCCGTTGACGTCACTTTTAGCATACCTAATTGAAAAGAAAGTCCAACTGTATAACTATAAGTCGCAACAATTGCCAACTTGCGCAAATGCTAACATAAATGAAATAAACTTACAATCACTCTCGACGTCTATCCCCAAATCCCAAACGGTCCCCTAATCCCCTTTCCGTTTTCCACAACCTGTTGACGGTTTGTAACGCTAAGTCACTACAGTCCAAAAGCTTCACGATACACCTCTCAAGACAGCCCTCTGCGTTCGAATGCACGACGGTAACAATAAAATTAACACCAAAGAAAACATTTTTCAAAAGTTACCTTAGCCTAGCTCAGTTCGCCTCGAAGTTTGTCTGTTAAGTTCAGTGCTTGCTGTTTCATACGATTTATATTTAATAGCTTAATCATAATGAAACGTTAATTTTCCTGTAGCCATATAAACAATCTGAAAGCTATGCATAATGTGTGAGAACCACTGAGTGTGCTAAAAAACAACGCGCATCTCATTACAGCGCTGGGATATTGTTCTCATGTCAACATCATTTTCCCAAAGTTCGTCCAGTGCCGGCTCTATTACAGCAGTAAATGAACACACAGTGTAAAACGTTTCAAATATATATTCATAAATATGATAATACAAAGTTTTTTAATTATACGTTTACAAGGATTCTCCCGACTTGCACATGTAAAATACGGTCGCTCATAAGACTTTTTCAGCATATCTTTAACGTGCTACACGAAACTTCGCGGGCTTTCGGTGACTCTCGCATATCGGCTGCGTCAAACCCGTGGCCCTCCAAGCCGTCAGAGCCATAGATATCTTATATACACTAGATAGTGCATCTAATTATTCTGCAATTCAAAAATTGAAGCCGTGATTGCAGGCTCAGGATATTCCCATGAAATGAGAAGATTCGTATGTATCCTATTTCTTAAACAGTATATCGAAGATGGGGTATATCCATTTTAAAATAAATATAAAACACCCGTTTATTTTATACACCGTTTGGCTGACGCCATCTCTGAGATGGAGTGTAATTGTTTTCTTTAGCTAGTGATTTGATTTTCGTGACAGTATTTGAACCAACTGATGTAAAAAACTGGTTGAAGTTATTCGCCACGGATTTATCGTCACTGCTGAAGCATTTTTTCCCGGTAGATTTCTTTGGAATACAAGTGCGAATTACTTTCCACATGTTGCCAGTGTCCTTGGTGTTTTTCCTAATTTCCCGTTTGACAAAAGATCTTTGGGCGATACGTAAGTCTCGTTTGACATCCCGTTTACAGTTCCTGTAAGCAGACCATGCAGCAGGATCACCAGCATTCCGAGCTAGTTTTCTCCATCGATCTCTAGTTTTTATTAGCCCTCGAATCTCTTCTGTCACGAAGGGGTTTGGACGAGTTCTTACTTTAACCTTTCTAATTGGAGCATGTTGATCCAGAATTTCATTAAACAGTAAGTCGAAAGCATTTAAACAGTCATTGACATCCTCAAAGTTGTTAATGACGGACCAGGAAGCGTTAGATATGTCCTCTGCACAAAAGGAATCTTTGTTGAATTGTTTGAGACTTCGGACGGAGACATAAACAGGCTTTGGACGACATTTCTTCAAGGCTAGAATTGACATAACTGTATCATGATCACTTATCGACTTGGCGATGAAGTTCGTTTCCTTGATTTTATTTTCTGAAGAGGGAAGAATTACGTCAATTAATGTGCGAGAATGTTCGGTCACTCTGGTAGGATTATCGATCATCTGTGTGAGGTTAAAACAAGTACAAAAATTTGAAAGAGCACATTGTTCCGGATCATTCGCATCAATTAAGTACATTGCAGTTGACATCTCCCAGAATGTAGATCGGTTTGTTAAAGGACAAAGCTGACGTTAATGTTTCGCTGAAATCAGTTTCAAAACAAAACAAGATGGTGTCAGGTGGACGGTAAGCTGTGCATATGAAAAATGACCTGAAGTTCATAACTTGTATTCTTAGCCATAACTGATGTAAACCAGATCCGAAATGTAGGGCAGATCGATCTTTCATTGGCTCACATTTGAAGCTTTGGTTGACATAGGCAGAAACACTACCTCCCCTCTTACCATTGCGATCAAGTCGAAACAGACCATACCCCGGGAATTCAATTTCAGTATCCGTAACAGAGGTGTCCAGCCAAGTTTCAGAGATGGTGAAAATGTCAAATTTCTGTTTTAGGACCAGATCCTGTGCCAGTAGGTAGTGCTCTTTGTTCTTTAGGGAACGGATGTTTAGATGAGCAATCTTAATGTTACCTTGGTTTGACGAGATTTTAGCCGTGTTCGTATTATTGGTTGAACGGTAATTTATATTATCAGACTGAGCAGGACCAGGGTTAGACTCTACATCCATATAGACAGTAAGGTCAATATCTTTGTGAAAATCAGGGGGCGATCAATAGATTTGTCCGCGTTTAGACCAGCAGACTTGGGAAGTACGTAAAGGAGCCTTCAGTCTGTGGCGTTTCGTTTTTAACACGCGACATAATAGAAAAGAGTATAAAATTTCAATGTGTTCGTTTGTGTATTCGTAACATTCGTGACAACGTTGTCCAAATTGATAAACTCAAAATTCGTAACGGGGGGGGGGGCGGTAGCCCCCCCCCCCAGTTTTTTGGGCAGTCGGGCAATATTCGATTAACAGTCGGGCAATTTTGGTTTCTTAAAATAAATGGGACAAATTCTGTTAATTTTGTCGAAAATTCAGTCCATTTTGTGGCCGATGTAGTGTTTTTTGGAAAATTTGTGTGATGTTCCGAAAAATTTTGGTATGTCCGGAAAATTTTTTTGACCCCTGAAACGGTACACTGACCGAAATTTTTTTGGCAACGGGGGGGGGAAGGTCGCCAAAATAATTTTTCTGGGAAAAATTTTTTGGAACTAGTCGGGCACAATCACGAAAAGTCGGGCAATTTTCTTTCCGTCCCCCTAATTTTTTCCTTCCGGTACGCCCATAGCAAAGAGTCGGACGAAAAGGGCGGACGACGACAAAGATATTGTTCATTAACCAAAATTTTCAGTTGTAGCGCTATACCGCAGAGGGTGAAATATCTTCCTACCATTATGATTACGTAACATGAAGTATACGACAATGTTTACATGTGATTCATGAATCATAATGTGATGATTGAATTTTTGAGCTAAATCTTGTATTTCGGTTAACTTTAGGGGATGCCTTCAACACAAAATTGTGGTTTTAATTTATTTTCCTGTTCAAAATGGTTGAGCGCCGTATGTGTTGGTGCTGTGAGTGGTATTGCAGTGTATTTTATTCTGAGTAGAACGCGATGTGGATGTATAAAATGTCATGAAGTCAACGATCGTGATAAGATTTCTTTGGTATGTAGAACAATTTGGGTTTGCTACAAACTGCGCGATGATCGAAGATGGGGTATATCGATACAGTGCATATGCTGAAATAAGCAGTTTGTTAATAATAGTATTTGAAACTGGGTTTGGGGGGGGGGG